ATCTGAGGCAAGGCTATAAAGGGCCTTGAAAGCCAGACCAAGAAATTGGACTTTATCCTGAAAGCAACACAGGCAGTCCATCTGGGGTCCCCAGTACATTTTCAGTAAGGTTTATTTTACACAAGATTTTCACATGTACCAGCAACACCTGTCATAAGAAAAGGACATCACCACTATCATTCTCTTTGTTCTCCTGAGGCAGCCCACCAGAATCCTCACTGGCTATCATAAAAGGATCCTCTGGACCTTTGGAAGCGGCTCAGCCTGAAGTCCCTACAAGGTCTTCACACAAGGGCCCTTGGAGGTCCTCCCTCATTTTATATTTGGAGAAACGAAGGTTCAAGAAGCACAGAAGGTGTCAGAACTAGAGCTTGGCAACCCCCCTCCCACACCCTTCCCTCTAGGAAGAAAGACCCAGGCTACTACCCACACTGCCCACGGTGTCTGCAGAGTGCAGTTACCCTGTGCCAGAGCCACGGAGGGGACCTCGGTCAAGTCTCTCTTCTCACCCCACGGGGCTCTGCCCTCCCTGCCCTCGTCCACCTGACACCGGTGCAGCAGGCAGAGAGCACCAGGGCGAGCAGCCTTGGCTGTACTGTTTGTAACCCAACAGGCCCCCGCTTCTGGGCCTCGGTGCAGTTCAGCTTCCTTTATAATCTACAAAATAGAGACTGACTCAGGCCACTGACTTACAAACCTTTATCAAACAAACACCACACACTTAGCTCTACATACACAAATAATAAAAGCACAGCTGCACTGGCTGAGGTGTGAGTGGGGGCCCCAACTCTTACCGCCACGCCCAGGTGGCCCCTAGGGTGCCTCCTGTCAGCCCCTGGGCTCTGTGGACCAAGTCTGAACAACACCGGTCTAGCAGTTCCTGAGGGTTCTTTCCTACCCGGGGATGCTCGGTTTCAGTGCTCAAGTGGAAAGGTTAGCATGGTGGGCTCAGAATCTACGTCGCCACTGAGCAAGGCACCAGAACCTGCTGATGTCTGCCACACTAGGCCTGGAAAGAGCCAAGACCACTCCCAACCCGAGAGGCTGTGTCTCAGCCCTGCTGTTCCCCGGTTCTGAATGCACTCATGAAGCCCGCTCCCAGCCCCGCGTCCTCAGGACCCAGGAGTAACAAACACCATCTTTAGCCAGGAGAGCTAATTCTGCTTGGCCTTGAAATTCCATTACCAATTCATCCTTTTGGATAAAGTACTTCTGGTTCCCCTAGAAAGTGGCATTTCTCCCACACTCCTAAGTGAACAGGTCCTCAGGTCCACCCCTCATGAGAAGCAGAGTAATTACATACTAGGTACTCGACATTGGCTCAGTGACTGCAGATGACAAATACCACCCTCACTGCCACTTCCCCTTGGCCCCTACACACGATCATCTTCATCATCCCACCCCTGGCCACCTTCAAGCACGACACACTCGGAGACAAGTTCCACTGGGTTCTTGTTTGGCCTGAATGGCCCAGTGTCCTCTTCCAGCCTCAGGAGCCTCAGACCTTCATCCTCCAAAGTGACTCAGCTCCTCTGTGCTGACAAAAACATGGCGACACTGCGAGGCAGACAGAAGCCTCTCCTCCCCCATGGTACAGCTGCTGAAGGCTCAAGGCTGCCAGCAGGGTGCACAAAAAGCCCCCACTCATTCCTCCTTCATGCTCTCCTCCAGCCACTTTAAATAGTGTGCATCTCCTCGGTCTATGGGAAGACTGAAGATCTCTGGGATTTCAAAAGGATGCATCAACCTTTGGAAAGAAAGCAGAGCCCTGTGAATGCCTAGAATTGCAATCAGTCTATGCAATAAAACCCAACTGGCCAGCCTCACTTAAGGCCCACTGCAATCTGCCTGTAGCCACCTGTCCAGCCCCACAGCTCACCACGCCTGAGCCTGTGACCCACCTGTCACCAAGTGATCAGTTAGGCCAGCCGGCTTGAGAGTCTCACAGACACGGGTTCAAATTCAGTCTGCCACCTCTTAGCTATGTAAGCATGGACAAATCACTTAATTCCCTAAAGTTCCTACAAAAGAGGGGATAAAAATAGTACCCACATGATTGGACTGCTGAGGATAAAATGGGACAAGGTATATAAGCACTTACCTGGTGCACTGGCTGGCACTGCATGCATCATTAAATGTTAGCTACTGTCGCACACTCATCACTGTGCCCTCCCCAAACCACCCCCCCATGCCTCTGTATTCTCTTCTCCACCTAGAAAGCTCTCCCTGCTGCTGCTGATTAACCAAACACCTCTCTATTTCTTAAGGCTCAACTCAACCTCTGACCTTTCCCGAGGGCTCTTCCTTGACCATCCAAACCCACAGGAATCTCCTCCTCCCTGTTTCTTTCATCTGGTCCTTGACACACAATGCAAGTTCTTTTCGCTTTCCAAAGCGAAGAAACATAAGGCCTTGGGCCTCCGTCCCATCTATCAAATAGAGATAATGAGCCTCTGCCTCCTTTTTGCTGAATTAGGCACTGCAAGGCTCTCATGAGGTGGTCCTAATCACAACACGTGTTTGTATAGGTGCTTAAACATTAGCAGGAAGTTGGATAATTTTCAATGCCTGAGGATAATGAATTTTCTTGACTTATATCATGGACACCTAGACCTGTATGTGTTTTTAAAAGCAGACATACAGAATTCAGTGTATGTATGTTTGAATACTATCAGAATACTATTCAGACATATTGAAGGAGACATGTTTATAATGCTTTAGTAGTAAGAGCTGCCACTAACGCAGCAACTCACGTGTGTACTTTACGTAATTCATTCCAGTATGCATAGCAAGCCAAGGTGCTTGTATGGCCCCCACCCTGTAGACGGGGCAACTGAGGCACAGCAAGGCTCAAGTAACATACATGCATTTACGCTACAACCAGCAAACAGAGGAGCCAGGATTTGACCCTGGAGGTCAAGGTCTGGTGCTCATGCTCTTAACCTCAAAGTTGTCCCTCACCAGTCAGGCTGTAATTTCTCAAGAGTGCTGGTTCTACCAAAGGTGCCCTATTCCCACATCTGTGCTCCAGTGGTAACATGAGGGCCTTCTCTACCACTAGATCTGAGAGCTGGTATCATCATGTAACTCCAGAGTCCTTCCCGGTTCCCTAAGAAGTGACGGGAAAAGGTTTTATATCATCCAAATAAATGGTGACTCACATCTCTGGCTGCACAGGAAAGTCAAGATTTGAAGAACACCATACTTCATACTCACTACTTCTTACCCATTCCAGATAAATTAAGTCAGAATCTGAGGTGGAGCCTAAACTGATAATTTGAAAAATGTCTCCACGTGGTTATAGCACATGGCCAGCATTAAGAATCACTGCTTTAGACCAACGAGTCTCAAGCTTTTAGTGCACAGGAGTCACCTTACTACACTGTAGTTTGATTCAGTAGGTCCGGGGTTAGTGTGAGATTCTGTAGTTCTCGCAAGCTCCCAGGTGATGCCAGTTATTCCAAAAACCCCACTTTGAATAATAAATAAGGGTTTAGACCAGTGGTTCTCAAGGTGATGTCCACTGACCCCTGGGGAATTCCAAGCCTCTTTTGGGAGGTCCATGAGGCTAAAACTATTTTCATAATAGTACTCATTTGTTATTTATCTCTTTACTATGTTGACATCTGCACTGATGGTGCAAAAGCAGTGATGGGTAAGACTGGTGGCACCACAGCACGCGTCAGGACAAGGACACCACACTGTAGCAGCTGTCACTGTGTTCTTCACCACCACACACCTGCATTTAAAAATGCAAGAGCATCCTTGATAATGTGGTAAAGAATTACTATTTTCATTAAAGTTGGACCCTTGAGTATGTCTTTTTAATATTCTGTGTCACAAAATGGGAATCATACAAAGGCACTTTTGCTATGTACCTAAGAGCAAGGTCGTCTAAAACTCTGACTGAGACACAAGCTAGACTTTTTTCCCCCACAGAACACCGTTTTTACTCTCAAGCCAGAGTAACCATCATTTGTCTGTCACTTTTACAAATTAAGGTTACTCAAGTTTGAGTATTAGGCATTTTCCCAAATAAGAACAAAGTGGGCCCACCACTCAAATGAAGACAATTTACATCATTTATTGCCGATCAAAAAATTCATGTTTTTACACAAAAATTAGAAGTTTGAAAAACTTGAATTTATCACCATGAGCTTCAAAGTGTCCTAATACTTAAAAAGATGCTTTTGAGGCGACTCAGCTGTCTTATTAAACCAGATTCTGCAAAAATGTAAAATGATGCCATTCTTTCCAGTTTTTTGGAAAACATGGCTACTTTCCATAAAAACGCATTACAGGCATACCTCACTTTGTTGCACTTCACTTCACTGCAGATACTGCGTTTTTTACAAATTGAAGGCTTATGGTAACCTGGGACGAGCAAGTCTACTGACGCCATTTCTCCAGTAGCATTTGCTCACTTCCTGTCTCTGTGTCACATGCTGCTAATTCTCTCAATAGTTCAAACTTTTTCTTAATTATTATATTTGTTATGGTAATCTTTGATGTTACTACTATAATTGTTTCTTGTTTTGTATTTTTAAATTAAGGTAGTAATTTGTTACTTTTTTTTAGACATAATGCTATTACATACTGAGTAAGACTACAGTAGAGTGTAAACATAACTTTTATATGCACTGGGAAGCCAAAAAATTCATGTCACTCACTTTACTGCAGTCGTCTGGAACCAAACCCGCAATATTTCCAAGGTATGCCTGTATTTATGTTAATAGGTAATTGTTCTATTACTGTTATTTTAAATGAGCTAAAAACACATAATTTAAAAATTTCTTAGTTTTAATTTCTAATACAGTAAACTTTTATATAACCCACATAAACAAAGCTCTTTTGGGTCCTCAACAATTTCCATAAGTGTAAAGGGATCCTGAGACCAAAATTTTAGGAACCACTGGTTTAACTCTTTACAGATGGAGACTCTTGAGGGACAGGGCCATACCCAGGGTCACATGGAGGCTGGTGACTAGGCTCTGGGTCTCCAGCTTTTCAAGCTCATTCACTTGGTCCCCAGCACGCCCCTGGCTGGGAGGAGATGGTAGTACTACCTGATGTAGCTGGACAGCGTATGGACCTTGGAAGTCTTCGTCTTTATTAGCTGTAAATGAAAAAAGAAAAAAAGCACTGCTTTAGGACCTCAGCCCCAGCTCTGAAGCCACTCACTCAGCTGACCGTGCAGAAGGCAGCATTCCTCCGGGTCTCCAGGCGCTGTCACTAGCTCACAAATGAACCTAGGGCATCTTATGCGGGGCAAGAAACTTCATCAGTTGATCTTTGCTAATTTTTAATTGGAACCTGGGGAAAAGGCCTTGGTCTTGCTCTTCCCCCATCAAGGCCCCTTCCTCCCATCCTCACTCACCAACAGGATCTCAGTGGCCTCTTCTATTTCTCCATTCCAAAAGTACCTGGAGAAGAGAACAAAAAAAAAATTATGCCCACAAGATGAGCTCAGTGAATTAAGCCTGGCCCAATCAGGTGAGTTACTAAGGTGGAAACTTTAAAATCTTTCCAAGCCCATATAAAAAACTGTAGAGTTGGTCAAGCCTTACAGGTCATCTAGTTCAAACATTCTAGCATTGCCTTAACATTCCTGGAGGTGAGAGGCTCACCATCTCTCGAAGAAGTCCATCCACCTGGAAGGTTTTCACATTGAGATGGTTTATGTTACGGTGTGCCAATTTGCCACCCAGTTGTTCCCCCAATTTCCGTGTGAAGGCCCAGTTCAGGACAGCCCTGCGGAAACTCCTGTATATTCTCTCCTCCAAACTGGGCATCTCCAGTTCTTTCAATGCTCATCCTATACTCATGACTTCCAGGCACCTCCCCATCCTTTGAACTGGTGCTATTTTTATCACTGACTCTCAGAGCTGAGTGCCCACCAATGAATAAATTAAATAAGTTAAGGAGGATTCAAGGAAGAAGTGAGCCTTATAAGATATGGAAACAAGTCCAAAAATGAAAAACAAATTCAGTGACAATGTTCAAAAAAAGAGTCATAAGAACAGCATCATGGGAAGGGAAAGAAATTTGGCCTGAGAATATCTACGCTGACCCAGGGCAAATCTAAGACAACTCAAGCATCGGCTTTATCTATCTCACAAAGCCGTGGTGAAAGGATGAATTATAAGGAAGGATGAACACAGGAGGGGAACATTAGGCTAAAATTCTGTTCTAGTTCCCAAGCACTGGCTCCCAGACTGGCTTATATGAATACCAATATAACTTTTTAAAAATTCAGAGACTCAAGCCCCATCTTTAGAGAGACTGAACAGATCCAGGATGGAGCTCAGGAATCTAAAGCATGGCCAAACGTGGGAGCCACAGCTACAGACGGTGTGAGGGAATGGTACTGCGGGGCCGCAGAAAGCCTTCGTTACACGGCACTTTTCTGCTCTGACCTCAAGAGTAGGCATTATTTCTCTTCTCTCTCTCTTTCATCAGAGGAGAAAGGAGATGAGAAACAGGCTGATCAGAGAAAATGAGGTACAAGACAAATCCTGCATGCTAGCACTGGGATGCGGAAATATTTTCATGAGGGAAATGGTGTAGACCAGGCCCAAGTAAATGAGTTGATGAAGTGAAAGGCAGACAGTGCGCAGAAATAGTCTGTCATGTACGCCAAACTCTCAAAGCTTTCCAGAGAATTCAAAAGCAACAGAAATTATATTCTTTGATATCCCCAGTTGGCTTACTCAGGAATGGAATGTCCAGTCTGACTTCTTTGGTAACATCAAGCTAATTGATTTAAACAAAGAATGTGCAAACAAGACTCATTGCTCGTAATTTGTAGGTTTTTTTCCCCTTCTCTAAACATAGCCTGTTTTTGCTTTTGTTGGATGACATAAACCCATTAGTTGATTTCCTCTGAATACAAATTGACAGTGAACTACTGATGAATTAAATGCCTCTGAGTTGTTCTTTGACAACTCCGCATTAGTTCGGTGCTCTTTCCACTGGCCATGACCTGACCTAGCACTCCCACACCCCTCCTCTGGCCATAGCAAAACTCACAGTGAGGATGCCTTAGGCAGGATGTTCACAGATGCAGCCAGCTTCTTATCCAGGACAGCCCTAAAGTAAAGAGACAGAGTGACAGTCACTGGTGTCCAAGTGTCCCGAGAAGGGTTGGGGGGCAGGAATTCCTGGGAGTTACCCAGGAAACCTGAGCCTAAGTAGATAACTATTTAGAGGGCCCCTCCCCACTCAGACCAACTCGGTACGTAACTACCATGCACAGAACCACTGAAGACAGAGTTGTTTGTAAGTCCCTCCTTGGGTGGGGAGACAAGTAGGGAAGCAGTTATGGGAAGGCAGTTTTGAGGACAGGCCCAGCCTGCTTGGGGAATGAGAATCTATTGACCCTGGATGGAGAACAAGAAGATGTGGACTCCACTTCAGCCCTGCAGTAGGATGGCTGTGTGACCTTACGCAAGTTCCTTCTTTCATTCCAGGAACAGGTATCTGAGCACCTCTCCGAGACAGGCACAGCCCTCCCACCCGACCTGACTGCCCGCTGTACAAAGAGAGGACTGGTTCAGGCAGTGGTTTCCAAGCCTTTCCACCACCAAGGGCTCCTTTTATCATGCCACCTTCTTCTCCTTTTTTTCCTGGGCTGACATTCAGTGCTTCTGGTCTGTAGATACCTGTGTGACCACGCACAACTGATATTAACTCTAAGGAAAAGCCACAAAAGGCATCATGTTCTGTGTTTGTGTTTGGCAAATATAGGCTCTTTTCGCTTTTATTTTTGTAAAGGTTCTACCACAACCCTTAGAGCACAATCATCACCTTTGTAGACCTCTAAAAAATTTTTTTTTTCTCAGACCGCAGGTTGGAATTCCTGACAGTGATTCCTGTGCAGAACCCTGGTGAACACAGTAAACCACGCCTGAACTAGTACAAGTATCACGGATGCAAAGAAATGTTCCCCAGTATCAAAACCTCAAGCCCTGGGACTCAGGCAGACCCTGACAAACTCCTCTCAAGCCTCAGGCAGCCGAGGGGACCCAGCTTCGGTTCTCTGTAGTGCTTGGCCCCCGCCAAGTAAACCTCACTGGAGCTCTGCTTACCGTTCCTTCCTCCTCTTAGCTGCTGCCAAGAGAACTGACCCACTTTCTCTTCCCCAGAGTTCCAGGCTGAACAGGGCTCTATTTAAGGCTCCACATGAATCTGGTATTACCACCGCCCTTATTCCCTTGGGAAGTTCCAGGAGATGAGTAAACCCTGACTGTAAGGAGAGGCACATGGCACAAATTTGTCTAAGCAATGGCTGCAAGTCTTGCTCACTCAGTCAAGTGATCTGCGTGAGAAATTGCACTTCGTTGGTTCTAAAGGTGACATGCAAACACAGGGAGTGAGTTAAACCTAGAAAAAAATAATCCAGTGCCTCAAAGGCCTGTTCCAGTCTTTTTGGAAGTATGAAGTCCTTGGTGACTGATCACAGCAACCAGCCCTTTGGTAAGAGACTGTAAAACTATGGAGGACTGTGTCATTCAAAAAGTTCCTATGGAAAAAAAAAAAGAGAGCACAAGAGAGCGAGAGAGCACAGGAATGAACGAACATGCAAGCTGATGGATAAAACACACACTGAAGACCAGCAGTGGGTCACAGACAGGGAGCTCAGGCCCTCATGCTCATCTGAGGAAAGCAGGAGATAGAAATGCAGAACTTCCAGGGCTTCCAGAATTGCAAAGGTCACAAACCAGAAGCTCACAGACCAGATACACAGTTTGGCTCACGTGGCATTTAAAAAAAAAGTCATGACTTTGTTACCAATTTTTACTATCAGAGTATTTCACATTCAAAAAGTACACATTACCTAGCCTTCTCACCAAAAAATGAGACTTATGACATTGGACCTGCAGTCCTACGAGGTCACACTTAGCTAGAGCTGAGCAAGGGCTACTCCCTCGAGGCACGACATATGCTTCTCAGGTCAACTTCCACTGCTCTCTCCTCCCCACACGTGAGAAGAATGAGGGTTGCCATCTACTGTCATTCTCCATCATTACACCCCAGCCCACTCACTCACTTAAGCTGCCTGTCTACAGACATTAGTGTCTGTGACCCTGGCCTAATCCAAATCCCTCTCTCTACGTATGAAATCAAAGTCCAGAGAAGGAAGACTTGTCTAAGATCATATGTGGTGTTGGCAGCAAAGAGGACATTAGAATCTAGGCCTTCTGATTCAACATTCAAGTTTCTACCCTAGCCCCAGCAAGAGATTTTTCCAGTTTAGAGTGTGTCTGTCAATGATGAGATCTAAGAACGCTGCCAGGAACCAGAACTGAGAGGCGGCAGACCGAACGCTAAAGAACACTAATGAAGAAGGAGCACTGAGCTGGAGCTGAAGACCTGGTCCCAGAGTTAGTTCTGCAGCTGAAGCTGGGGTCCCTGCCAGCTAACACTTGTGGGGCCCTCCCTACCATGGATTCATTTACTCTCCTACAAATCCTGGAAACTAAACCTGTTTGCCTCTCTTCTATAAAAAATACTGAACAGAACAGCTGAGGGGAGAGAGCCCCTAAGACCCCATTTCAGAGTCCCAGTCAGTGGTGGACAACACACACACACACACACTGCAGCCTCCCTTTTACACCAGACCCCAGAAACGACAGGAAATATTTCTTACTTAGCCATGGCATTGCACAGTAAGGAGAACACTTTATGTACCAGCAACTAGGAGGAAGCCCTAAAGAATAAAAGGCAGCACTGAGACAAGCACGGGAGCATTTAGGGGACTTCCTAAGAGCCTCTGAATCTATTAGAGATTGGTAGTGATCTGGTTTACTCGGCTTCCAGCAACTTGGACATTTTTGAATATGAAATTATAATTTTTTCATTAACATAGTCATAGTTTGAATCACGTAGGATGACCCTCCTAAAAATTCTTCATGAGGTGATAAAAAATTATCCTTAGAAACTAATTTTGACTGTTAAATTCTAGATTGTAGAAGTATTTATTTAAAGAATTGCATGGTAAGTTTTCCCTATACCTGCCATGTAAATATATATGTCTATTATTTTATTTCCTTTGTTCCTTATTACATTTATACTGTTCATTTGTAAACAAATGTGACTTTTGAACTTGGGGGAAAAAAGAGAGAGAAGATGAGAGCAACAGTCTGTATCTGGAGGTGATGGGAACCAGAGCATGAAGGAACTTGGAGGCAACCATCAAGGTCAAGAGTTGGAATGCCACAGCAGGAACAGGTAGGCCCCCTAATCTCCCATGGCCCAGGCAACAGTAATGGGATATTTGTCTCTAGGCAGAGTAGTAAGTGTGGGAATTCTGGACAAAAGGCAAAAACATCGTCCTAGTGGCTGGTGACAGCCAAAGACAAAGGGGAGACTTCATACCCAGAAAACCAGTTACTAAGGTACCCCAGCCAGCTGAATGTCCACCCACCCGCACCCTGGTAGCTCCTCCCCAAGCCTCCCACGGCAGCACCTAAGCCCCTTCACCATACCTGGCAATATCTCTGGCAATCTGCTCGTTGGGACAGTTGGCAAAGACAATGGAGTAAGTGCCGGAGACATAGCTGCCAGTGACAACTGAGTGGAGCTGCAGGCTAAGGGTCCTGAGCATGGGGTATGTCAGGAAAGAAGCTGTCAGGATCTACACAGTGGGGAAAGAAAAGCGCAGATCAGCAGTGGCATGGCCAATTCACTATTTGCCAGCTCAAGCAGACTGGAACCAAGGCTGGGCATCATATTTCCTTCCCCATTTCCCAGCCACAAAATAATTCCTGGGATCTCTGCTGAGCTTTAGTGCTTAAAGTTTTCATGCCTAGATATTTTCCTCTGCATTTTGCAGATGGTGAAAAAGAGAGGCTCAAAAATCAAGAAACTTGCTCAAAAATCATACAGCTTTTAATTAGTGAAGCAAAGCTTAGGAGTCAAGTCTCAATAACTTGAAATCCTATTGTGCAAAACTGCTGCTAGAGGTAATGCCAACTGACATCCACTGAACTGCTGTCATCCTGTGGAGATCGCTGTGAATGATAGGTTCTTACCATCTATTGATATATTAGGGAATTAATTTCACTTTCATTCAGTTGTGTATATACAGGGTGCCATGGGGAGTCTAGAGGACAAGGAAGCCTAATTCTAAAGCAGTGTGACTTGTACCCCTGTGGCAGAGAGCTGGGGGTCCAAGAGGAAGGCTCTACCTATGGAGACAGGAAAAGACTTCAAAGATATCATCTAAGTTGGAACTGATAAGTAGGATTACAAGAGAGAGATATGATAGTATGTACAAACTCAAGAGGTATTTGGAACAGATGAGCTGTCTAGTCTGCATGGGTCTTAGTCTGTGGATATGAGATTGGAAGGAAATGAGACTGGCCAAAACTATAAAGAAAAGGCTCAGGGTAAGGAGTCTGGGGTTTGTACTCAAGAGACAAGGTGCTGTTGGAAGTTTAAGTAGGAGAGTAACAATATGATCAAGCCGAGCAGAGTAACAGGAAGGAGGATGGGGAGTGACCAGAAGGTCTATTCAAAAGGCCTTTACAACGTTCCAGGAAAAAAGCATTAAGGTGCTGAGCTAAGAAAATGGCAGTGACAGTGTGAGAGGAAAAAACATTCAGGACGCAATTGTTCCTTACTGTTTTAATGATCAACATTTAAAATAAGAGGGAATGAAAATAACTGGAGGACATCTTCCATTCCAGGGTTCTCTGCTTGGGAGACACAGTGGAGTCACTAATAGGGGTCGAGGAAACTTGCGAGGAGTCCCACTGCGACTCAGGCGAGACTGAACAAGAGCTTGCTTCTCCTGCCTCCCAGCCCAGGGCTCGCGTCTCGCTGAAATAAACCTCTGTCCTCCCATTCCTTCTATGTTATTGTCCAGGTCCTGGCTCCTACTTCTTGGCAGGGCATAAGTAGCGTTTTTATGTCTTCAGCTTCAGTTTGACTAGAGGCCTGTCTGGGGTGGGTTTTTCCTTCCCTCCTACTACCTCCACCAACACCTCCAATCCAACATACTAGTCCTCTGAATTAAACCAGTGACCACACAAGGAAAAAAAAAACAGGCTTTTCAATGAAGCTTTTATTGTGTGTTTAATGACAACTCAATTAGATTATATAGGGAAAAAATAAAGGCACGAGAGAGCAGGCTTTAAATCCTAGTGCCTGTTAGCCTACTGCTAACTGCCCGTGGCCTTTGTTACTTCCTCTCCCTTCTGTAAATGTTATCTAGAAATCGGAGATTATGACATTTGTACTGCCTACCTCAGAGCTGCCATGGATTCTAACAAGACAGGATAAACAATTTATAATCATTAATCCAGTAAAGGAAGGGACTGTGCTTTGCTCATCACTGTGTCCCCAGCACAGTTCATGGCACATAGCAGGTTCTCCACAAATACTTGCAGGCTAGTGAATTAGTGTACCAGCAAGATGTTGATACTGAGGATAAACAGCCTTGTGAAGTAAGTAGGGCTTCTTGGTCACCCACAGTGCTTTTGGCAGAGAATTGGACATACTACCACACTGTGAGGGGTCAACTACATGACTCTAAGGTGGCTTCCAGCACAGACTCCAAACAAAAGGAGCAACGGCCTGTCCCCAGCCAAAGACGCCATTCCTGGAAAAGATCTAGGGCACTGCAGCCAGCAAGTATCAGTGGAACACAGAGCTAACAGGATTAAATATAAACTCACCTAAAATGTACTGAACCTCTTGTATGAACTCTAAGTCAAAATGCTAGGAGGTATTTTGGGCCCTCAGGTATTGTCTAAGCTAACCCTTCATTTACAGATAAGGTAACTAAGGCACAACACACAAATTCTGTGACAGAACCAAGACTTGAGTCCAAGACTCCTGCCTCCCAACCTGGGCTCTCGAAGAACTGCAAGGAGCATGACTAGGAACTGATATAGTGGGGCTACTTGAGCTTCACTTAATCCAGTAGCTGTCAACTTGGGACATGTGACAACATCTAGAGACAATTCTGATTGTCATGACTTCGGGGAGATGCCACTGGCATCTAGTGCGTAGAGGCCAGGACTGCTGCTAAACATCCTTCTAGTCTACTCCGATCACACTGAAATACAGACCGTTGAATACATATGTCTCCTGCATTGGACACGAGCTCTTTGGCTTCATTCACTTCTGTATTCCCAGCACTTTACAACCCCTGATAAGGAGCATGGGCTTGGGAAGTGTTTGTGGATGTTATCAACAAAGAATCAGAAGCATGAAAGGTCAGTTTGGAACCAAAGGTGGACTACAGTTTATTAGAAAATGATATTACATGAATGCAAAATTGATGGAAAATACACACATCACCAAATTCCCTAATACAAACATTATAATGGAAAAATATTTACTCTCAGTTTTCAAGTCTTTATAGTATTTTCATATTTATGTCTTTATCCTTTTCTAATTTTACATTCTTTTTATTTTATTTTATTTTATTTTAGTTATTTCATAATTCATTGTCTTCCCCCTTTTTTTGTCCTAGAGTATCTACCTAGCCTTTAAAAGGTTATGGTTGACTTTAGTGTTTGTTAAGGCAGAAGGGGCCTCAGAAACCACCCAGTGGTTCTAAACTTGTAACCCATCTAGGTTTTAAAAATCTGTGAATACTCAGAAACTGAATGCAACATTTTAATTTATCTATACATTTATAGATGTTTATCTGTAAATACATAGATAAACCTGTGTTTATCTATACATTTTCACTGGGTGCAAATCCAGAATTTTCACAAGACAAGACAAGAAAAGAAAAGAAAATCTATAGCCCCCAAAAGGTTAAGAGTTACTGATTTATGCCAACTCTTACACATGAGGAAATTAAGGGCCAGAGAAGGGAAGAAGTCACCAAGAAGTGAGCAGCAGAGCTGGGCTAGACCCCTGGGCACCGGGCCCTCCCCTACTGCTCTCCTTTTCACTCCCCCTCCCCACCCACCACAACCACCAGCACCACTGCAAGTACTCTGTAGCGACTTCCAACCATAACATTTTAAGATTATTTCAAAGACGAGAAAACAAAGCCCCCAGAAAAATACAGAAAAATGAAATAACTGTACTCAACAAAGGATCTATCACGTGACTTGTAGATGCGAACTTTCCAGCAGCCACCCTTTATCACCCCAACGATCCTGGCAGTGAAACACAGCCCGGTCACTCCTCACAAGGCAGGGAGTGAAGGGGTGCTGGTAACCTTCAGAACCATGCCACAATCTCCAGGACAAGGAGTGGTGCCCCCAAGGATTTTACCTTCCACCCCCTACCTACCTGCCTCCAGCTCAAAATCCCAGGAAGAGTAAAGACAAATGCACCTTCTCTCCTCAATCCCAGGGTGGAGGTTTAGAGATGAGAGGACTCACAGCAGGGTGGAACACTCACCAGGAGGCATATAAGGACTGAGGGCCGAGGGCAGCCTGGCAGGGGGCACCGTGCGCCCAGCCTGTCCATGGCGTCGCCAGTAACTGAGCAGCACAGCCTATTGGACCTTCGGCCCGAGTTGCTGGCTGATGGGCGGGAACGAAGGGCCTGAACAGCCCTCTCGCCTTACCACCTGCTGCCTGCCTCACTGCCCAGCCAGGTCCCAGCCAGGCCAGAAGGAGGGGGCGGGGAAAGAGGGAGAAGTTTTCACTGGGCAACCCAAGCACCACATGCAAACCTCCAACCCCTGCAAAAATAAAAATACTAATTTTCCCCTCCCATTCTAATGCACACACACACACACACACACACACACGCGCGAATCATAAAATCTCCACAGATGCAGAGATAAAAAGACCTAAGTTTCTTAGATATACAAAACCTTCAGAAACAACAGCCCACAAACACTAATACAGATACACAAAACTCTTACACTTTATAGAGGCTCATCCCGCCAACAAAAACAAATAAATGAAGCACACACGTGGCTGCCTTCCTGTTCCCCTGTCACCCCCTTCTCCCAGGATCTCCCTTCTAATCCTCCTTGGCTTAGAACACTCTTGCTCCCGACAGCTCTCCCTATGAACTCTTTCGTCTTTCCAGGCCAGCTGCTCTGTGCAGTCTTTCCCAAGGTTAATTAGTCCCACAGTCCTCTGTTTCCCCTAAGGCACTTTGTACACATTTCTGTTGCAGCATTTAACATCAACCATGGGGAGATGCAAACAAATTTTAAAAAGAAGCAAGCTAATGATTGACTATTGCCCTTCAGGGATGCAGAGTCCACTTCGTCAGGGTTTCCAATTTTTTAATCTAGCTTTTTAATGTGAAATATCTTGATTATTAAATGACATTTCTGGGGCAGGAGAAGGGATTGAGTAGACAAGGGCACAAGTAAACTTTAAGCCAAGGAAACTGTTCTATATCTTGATTGTGGTACTGGTTACACAAACATTAAAAAATTCAACAAACTATACACTTAAATTGGCGAACTGTATTTTATGTAAATAGCACCTTAAAGGCAGGGACGGGGTGGGGGGAAATGCTGAAAACCAATTCAAAATTGTTTTAAACTGGGCAGACCATACAAAACACGTTAGCCAAATCTGGCCTGCAGGCACCAGTTCACAACCTGTGTTTAATTTACCTGTTTACCTGTCTGTCTCATTCTGTGGGACTATAAATTTTTAAAGGCCTAATACACTTCTAGCAAAGTGTCTTAAGTCAGCTGTAGGCCTAGCCCTATCATTTACATCAACAGCTATACAGGCTCAGGCAAATTACTCAACCTCTCTGAGCTTTTGAGGGGTTTTTTTGGTAAAGAAAGAGCTAGCATCTCCTTCATAGGTCTAAAGTGAAGATTAATTAATAGAGTAGATTAATATAAGAGTACTTTATAAAACATAAGGCCATGACAGCAATTCAAGAGCAAGTACTCTCATGCCAACTACCAAAGAAGCTTAACTCAGAAAATCTCCATCTGAGATTAAGAATTTAGCATGTATGGAAAAAACAGGGTTACAGAAAATGAGGCCAAGTGGTCCTAAAAAAAGAACCTTTTTATTTGAAGTCCACTAAAGTAAATCAAGACTGTGATCTTTGATACCTGTGACATTAATAAAGCCACTGTTAATGACCATTTTACCTTAGATCCTGAGATGATTTCCTGAGATGTCCAGAGTTTAGCACAGGGCCTCACACAGATTATGCTTAATAAATGTTTGCTGAATGACTAAATGATAGTCCTTCCACACTTGGTATAAGACAGCATTTAATTTCCTTAGATTCATCTTTATGTCTACTTTCAAAGACTTGTGTTCTTCCTCATCTATAGATATACTCTGTTATTGCCAAAGTTTGAAACTGAAGTAGCTCATTAATTTCACTTTCATCAATATCAATGAATTTAAAGCACATCCATCTTGCAGACTCTATGACTTTTTTCAACTTAATTAGCTCTAGGGAAACATACATAATCATTCACAGTATTGTTCCAAAGTTTCCGCCAGACTTTATTAAGAGCAGCTGGTTTTACATCATCCATCACCTCTTATCACTACCAAAACTTCAGCAATGTTCACTGTTACCATGTTTCTTTCAAAGTGAGGCAAGGGTTCTTTTCAATAGTCAGTAAAGTGGTCAAACATATGCTTGGTGTAATATCTCCTGAATGCTCCAATTATACCCTGATCCAAGTGCTGAAGGCAGTTAGTGCTTTCCAGGGGGAGAAAACACAGTATCAACAGTAGGATGAGCAAAGAATGAGTCCGGGTGACTGGGACCTCTGTCCAAATCAGTAACACTCTAAATTCAAGATTTTTTTCTGTGAAAAAACTCTAGGTTTGACAGATAAAACAACTACGAAACCAATCCAAAAAGAAGTCAGCTGTTAACCATATTGTTAGGGCTCGCCAGAAAACAAGACGGCGTTTTTTATTTTTTATTTTTTCCATAAGACAAGTGGGATCAGGGTCTTTACAAAGCAGCAACGGCTTTATCATTTTGTCACTTACGGCACTGGCACAAAAAAATTAGGGACTTGGTGTCTTCAGCTTCCTCTAAACTTTCTGGATTTTGTCTGTTTCCCTAAAAGTACGCGAAGGCAAGCACTTCCAAAACAGGCTCATATCCTCAGCGTTGAAGACCTGCTGAGGTACAAAGCCTCTAGCTCTGACCAGTTTCTGGAGTGGCTTGGAATACTCGGGTAATGACTGGGCATTTAAAGATTCTTCCTGCCCCATCAACCTCGAATTTCGCAGACTATAGCGATTTCTACACCTCTCAAACCATCCCTTGCTCGCATGAAACGTATCTGGGTTGCCCTTCCCAGTGGTCTCCACCAGCTGCTTGTACACGCGTCTGGCCAGGCCAAATGGCCTTCATCGTCAGAGGCCCCTCTACGGTCTAATCCTCGACCCAAAGGATTAACTCGGTCTCCATCTCGATGTAAAAGTCACGGGGAATGCACAGCACTTAGGAGTAGATGGGCGAAACATTCTCCACGCTGTCCCTGATGGCCTTCTCGTTTTTCCTAACGGTGCGCACGGTTGCCTCATTAACGCCAGGAAGGCGCCCCACGTCGGTGTTACTCAAGCATTCTTCCAGCTTCTCGAGAATTTTCAAGTTGTCTTCCAGGAGCATGACCCTCCGCCTCCTCATGACAGGCGTCCGGCCGGGAGCCGGGTGCTCCGCTTCGCCCCGGGCGGCCTAAGCCGCTGCCGAGAGCCGAATTTTAGAGCCAGGAGGCCGCCCGCAAGGCCGTTTAACCTTCGGATGGTCCTCATTCTCATCGCTACTCCTGCCGGCCATTTACTCAGCCTTCACTCTCGGTGGGCCAGAGGCAGGCCGAACGGAGGGTTGGGCTGCAGGACCGAGAGGCGCCCGAGAGAACGTCAGGCTGCGACCCCGTAACCACCAGCGACCCTAATGGGTCCCGGTCTCGCGAGGCTTCGCAGCCTGGGAGAGCGCGCTGCCCGCCAGCTCCGCAATGCTATTGGTGCGGCCCTGACGGCTCGCATTCCCAGCCAAAGCTCGGGGAAGAGAGCCTGCGCCTGGCAGATCTCGCGAGGCTCGGAGAAGCGCGTCTGGAGCCGCGAGCTGAGCGGGCAGACAGGCGAGCCCCGGCGGGAGGGGACACAATGGCGGCCCAGGCGCTGATGCTGCTGAGGGAGGTCTCGCGGCTGGAAGCGCCGCTGGAGGAGCTCCGCGCTCTGCAGTCGGTGCTGCAGTCGGTGCCGCTCAGCGAGCTCCGCGAGCAAGCGGCGGAACTGCGCCTCGGCCCGCTTTTCTCCCTGCTCAACGAGAACCACCGGTGAGGGGACCCTGCGGCTTGAGCGGGGGCTAGTGACACCCCCAAGTATGAAGACGGGGCGGGGGGAGGGTGACAGGGGAGGCTTTTCCCAGTCGCGGTGAAGTTGAATATAGCCGAAATTTCAGAGAGGGAAGGATTCTGGGCTGAGAGGCAAGAGACGGGGTTCAAGTCCAGGCTCTGAGGTGTACCCCTGGGCGTCGTCTGGCCTCGCTGCCTTCACCCTTGAAACGGGAATTGGAGGAGGAAAGCAAGGTTGCCCATGTCCAGGGAGAAATCCACAATCATGTATCCAAGTCCTTGGCTTTTTTCCTCCTCTTAAGAAGGAGTACTATCCTGGCAATTTGGTAGGATGAATCAATGTTTTAAATTCACATACCTTTTGATCCAGTAAATCCTGTTGTAGAAATTTAACATGCAGGTTATGCACAAAATATATGCATACAGGAATAGTCATAAGAGAAGGTGACAGCAAAAAAGCAAACAAACAAAAACTGGAAACAACCTGATTATTAAAAGAGGATTTTTAAATTATGACACATGACTTTAATACTATGCAGCTGTTGGAAAAACTGATATAGATCTATATATGTGGACATAGAAGGATCTCTAATACACACTATTGAATGAAGAAGGAAAGTTGTAGGAGTTTATGATCCCATTGTGTGTAATTTTTAAAAAGGATTATAATCCTCCGAGACCCACATGAACACTGAAAATATCTGAAAGGTACAGTGGAAACTATTAGTATGGACATGGGACTTAGAATGGTAAGATGGCAACTTTTACTTTTCATTTTACGTACATCTGCAGTGTTTGATTAAAAGACACTTTGTCTTTGATCATTTGATAACTTAAGACTTTTAAAATGTTCATGATCCAGGCATTTAGAACTGACATTTCTTCTTGAAAAGATAATGAATCGCTAAATCAACACTGGATGACTTCAGAGGGCTTTCTTGGCTCTGACCTTCTAAGATTCCTCCCTTTTTCTTATGTGTTCTCCTTTCATTAATTCTGCAAGTTAACATTATTCAGGTCTGCCTATGAAATCTCTCTTATTTGTCCATTTTAATTCAGACTCTCGTGTTCTCCCCCTTGCTAGGTCTATTGCATTCGTCTGACTTCTCATTACCTCTAAGCTTCCTTTTCTAGTGTGTCCTTCCCACGTAGCAGCTACAGTGAACTTCTTAGGTCATTTGGGTCACATTTTTTCCATGATTTCCCATTGCCTCCAGGGTAAAATCATGACTTCTAAGTCTGGCATTTGGACCCTTATAGTATATTTCCATCCTACTTTTCCAGGCTCATCTTTTTCTCCACTCTGCACCTACATCATCTGCTCCAACTACCAAGTGGCACTATTTACTTTCCCTTGAGCATGACTTGGCATTTTCCTAACTTTGTCCATACCTGTCCTAACTGAATGCCCTCCCTCTCTCCAAACCTGTCTACCCT